AAATAACTTAAACATACCATCATAACATTAGTCACATTTGATTGAACAAAATTTTCAATTTATTAATGTGGAGGGAACTACAAAGTTCTACTTTGTTAAGTATAATAAATTAAAAATTTGTAAGTTTGGCACTAGAAGGTTTAGTAAAAACTGAATTTTTACAATGTCAAAATTTTGCGAAATATGCACTACTTCAAAAAAGAATGATTGTATAGAGTTAACTTAAAACTACATCATGAGTTTTTCTTAAAAATATAAAAATAAAGTTATAAAATATAGTTTTAAACATACTGTAAGACTGATGTTGTTGTTCGATCAATGACAAGTCACTCTTCTTATGCACTTGAATCTGGAAATTTGAAAAATTAAGAATTTGAAGAATAAAAATTTTTTTTACAACTCTAAAATACAAAAAAAAAAAAAAAAATNAAAAAAAAAAAAAAAAAAAAAAAATCAATACTCAATAGTTATAATTTTTACACTTAACATGCCAACACTTTGCAATACAATGCAACATACCATAATCTGTTTTTTGACCGATTATGGTATGTTTAGTGTTAATGAATATAAGAATTATGACTAAATCAGTAAATATAAAACAGAAAATTATGTAAAATAATAATAATAAAAAATAATAAAACATTGTTTTATTTTTTCAACGAACTTTGAACCAATTTACGAGCATTTTTTTTTGTCCATTTTGTTTTGTCAATTGCATTTTTAACAGTTATTGCTTTGAATTTCCAGTTTTGAAATTTTTTTTTGTAATATTACTATTACGATTCACAAATTTCGAGTGATGCTTTTGAATTCCAAAACTCTGGATAAAAATTGGGTAAATGTAATAAGAAAGAAGACATTAGAGTGAGATTTTCATTCCTGGTATTTTGGTTTTTTTTTTTTTTTTGGTATTTCGGATTAAATATCATATTTTGGATTTTTTTTTAAAAAAAAATTTCTATTTAAGTTGAACATTTATAAAAAAAAAATGTTCATCACATCAAACACTATTTTAGTTTAAAGAATAACCTTGAAATATACTGCATCAAAGAAACTGTTGACATGATAAGATGATTTACTCTAATTTGTAAAAACTATTTAACAAGTAAAATGCAAAAGAGTGTTTAACGTAATAAAGAATAAACTATAACTAACCTCCTTTGGCATAGAATTAATTCTTTCTTCTAGTTCTTGCAATTCGACTTCTTTGACTAATTCAGATACTATAAAATTATAAATGGAATAAGATTCGAAAGCTGCATTGTATACTAAACTTTCAATTTCAAAACCAAACTATAACTTAAATATACACACTAAAATAATATAATGTGGATTGGACATAATAAGTTTTAAAATTTTTTATTAAAAACAAGTAAATAACATGGTAAGCAAAATATGTAATAATGAAATAATAACTTTAATATGTTTAATATGTAATAATAACAATTTTCCATTACAAAACTGTCTGAAATTATTTTATGGCAAGCATAAAACCCAAAAATATAAGGGGCCCTTTTGATCATAATAATAACATAAAATCAACACAATGTAAAGACCACAAATATGAAAGTTTAAGAGACCCAATTATTACTATCATTAATACCTCTTTTTAAGCAATTACTATTATTGGTATCTCTCCATTAGATGGGCACTAGACGAAAATCGGTGTGCCGAAATGGTTTTAAAGTTATTAAAGAATTTATAAAGATTAATAAAACTAAATGTGAACTTCTTAAACCTATAAATTGAAACTTTTAAAAAAAGTGTACCTTTCAAAAGTAAGTTTACTGTTCATTGACACGTTTTAATAGGCTACATGCAGACTATTGCTTTTTATTATTTAATGTATATGTATTTCTCTATGTTTTATTAAATTTGTATGAATATTAAATGTAATGAAAATCCATCGTGATCAACAAATCCACTAATACATTGCTGATACATTTCTAACTGATACATATACCAACAGTTACAATCAAGCTCAGCCTTGTATGAACAATTTAAAGTTGATTATTTTAAAGTTTATTTCCTTCTTTAAAATTGAATTTTTTTTTGAAAAGTAAAATTTATTCAATTATAAATGTGATGATGATGTGCTTAATGATGTTCACTTCTTCATTTTTTGTAATTTTGAATTCACTTTACAAAACTTATGGCAAAGAACAAAGAAAAAACAAACTTGATTTTGAGGAATACATGAGTTGAATTAACTAGCTTCTAAATTAAATTTTAGCAATAGAGGGAAAAAATTAAAATAAAATGAAAGAATATCTTAATAAAAAAGTCTTGAACAAGACTTATGTTATTATAACAATTCAAACAGGACATGTATTTTTTCTTCCTCTATTGAATTAAGTTTTTGATCTTTTTGAAAATTTCAGTATAAATGTTAAGATGCAGCAACATACTTTCTCTCCTTTTTTTTGTTACTTTTAACATCAACTCTAGTGCAAGTTTATAAAAAAAAATCCTAAGAGAGAAATAAATTTTTCTACAACAAAGGATATATGGCAATTATTCGAAGCCAAATGTCAGAAAAATTGTGAAAAAAAGAATTGAAAGTTGCAATTACTTTTGAAAAAACTTGGAATTTCAAAAAAACTTGATGTCAAATTCTCTGAAAGGCCTTTTAATTCTATAGTTGTATTTTTCTAAACTGCAGAGCAGCCTTTTTAGTACTTTTTTATTACAAGTTAAACAAGACAATAAATTTATTTCATCTTACTTCTCAAAAATTTTTCTATACACCTTGAAATTTTCATATTTTTAAATGTCATAGCCATACAAACGTAGCATGAAGTTGAAGACTCTTAGAATTTTTTAATGTAGAGAAATTAACATTGATAAGTTGAGAACTGATCGATGTAATTATGGCAAACTGAAGCAGTTGAGTGATTTTTTAAGTTTCTGAAAATGAATATTTTCAGAAATGAATATAATTCTTATTCCATCAGCATGTTTACTGGCAACAGAAGTCTATCAGTTTCTTCCATCAGCCTAGTACAGGTCACCTGGCTCGATCAGACACTAAGCTTCTCCATCTATTAATGCCCATGGTTAAGATCATTTTTGCCAGAATCAACCTTGGTGTTTTGTCTTGCTTTTTTTTGGCTGCCAATAAACTTTGAAATTCTTTTGCCAGCAAACTTGTCTCCTGATTCTTAAGTCCGAAACCTTACCAAGTCATTTGGATGAAGTCAGTTTAGGCAAAGCTCTTTGGGATTTCTGAAAAGGGATTTTTTTTCTTTACAAGATACCCTATGCTCAATCCCCAACCTGGAGGACCAGGATGTTCCTCTTAGCCTGGTGTCTTCCTTTTGACCTGTCTGGTTTGGGTGACCCTGCCAAGAACCAAAGCTTTCAGAATCAACAACACACAGTAATCAGAACACCACGATAAGCTGGGAACACCGTCATTGAAGATGAATATAACTACAAAACGGATTTAATTATTTGAGATATTAATCAAAACTATTATAGTTAATTTTTTCTTACAGAGCTGTGGAAATACTAAAGAAAAGAAACAAACTGCATTATTAAACAAAAAAATTACATATATAAAACCATTAAGAAATAAACTAACCTGGTTTTGGGTTTAAAGCATCGCAGTTGGCATTGAAGAGAGTGATGAAGTTCTTGTGACGACGAATTAAAGCCTAAAATTTTTAAATATGTTTGATTTATAAGTATTAAAGGAAAACAAAACATTAAATATCTGAGTTTATAACAAAAGAAATTTAGAACAAAATTTTTTGTTTTGTTTAAAATTTTAAAAATTATTAAGAAAGCAAGTATACTATAAGTGGTGATTAAAGCAAGTTGCATGCATGCAAATATTCAAAACAACACACAGAAATATCAGTTATCAGAAATAATCAGCTTCTTTATAAGATACCAAGAAAAAATAAAGAGATCAACAATCCTAATAACATAAATCTATTTTAATTATTTAAATATTTCATGCATTACAGATTGATATGCATATTGCAGAAAACTGGGTTCATACTTAATTTCTGGGGAAAACAATTCCTGAGTTTTTTTCTGATTATCTATAGCAACAACAGCTTTCCATAATTCCTGAGTTTTTCAGGTTTTTAACAAAATTTTTCAGTTTTTAGAATATTCCTTTTCTAAATTTTTTTTAAGCTTATTTTCCACTTGGATTTTTTAATCTCACCCTACGAGTCTTGATATATGATTGCCAGTAAACACAAATTTGCTCATTTTCACCACATTATGTAAAATGTTAAGGAAACAATGAATCTTGACATTCTGGACAAATCCTTTTAATGCTACAGAATTTTTTTTTGTTCATTGAGCTAAAGTTTAAATCATAATTTAATCCACTGATTCAAAGAGACAAAATTTTATAATAAAAAATAATGGTAATATAGTAGACATGATACAATTTGATAAGTGATGTATATTATAAATATTTTTGCTAATATAGATAAACTCAAGAAAAAAAGATTGCTTTAAGGTAAAAGAATCAGATATTCTTAAATTATTTTAAGTCTTTTTAAAGTAGACATTTTAATGGATATTTATAAACCTAAATTATAAGAAATTAAAGTGTTAAACTATCATAAAATTTTTTTTAGAAGAAATATTCTCAGAAGAAATATAAAATATTCTCAATGATATTAATCAGTTCAACACACCTGTCTATCTCCGTTTACAGGTAGTTTGTGTTCCCTTAATCTCATTTTAATTTCTTTGTCTGTGAGAAGATGATATACCAGTTTAGGCAATGTTTTGCGCCTATAAAAGCAGAAGCAACAATCAATATTTTTCACAAAATTACATAAGTATAAACTGAAAAAAAAAACAAAAAAACAACAACAACATAGTTTTCTTTTTACCTGCCATCATCAAATTGCTGCTTTAAACAGCTGTCTAAGTGAGCATTTATAGTAAGACCAAGGACAGCATTATAACAAACAGGACAGGTAACTAAAAAAACAAAGTTCATGTTTATAATAAATAACAATGGAAACTTATAGGTGATTCTACAAAACTTAACAATATCATGTACAAACATAATATCACAAGATTGTCTGAAATAGAAAGTATAGGACATATTGAGCTACAGCCAATGATAAAAATGTCACCATAAATTTTTTTCTTCCAAATATTATAAAGACAATGGTAAGTGATGTTTGCTAGCTTACAGCTAATAAGTTTTCGGCACATGATAATATAATTATTTCAAAACACGATGATTTATTTTGCTGACAAGATCATTTTGCTGACAAGATTATTTTGCTGACTAGATTATTTTGCTGACATGATCAATTTGCCAATATGAACAAATCAAGTTTTAATTTTATAAATTTTTTAAAATTAGTTACTCAAGATTTTTTGCAATTTGTATTATTTTTTAAAAAAAATATTTAAAGTACATTAACAATTACTTACTCAAAATGTGGTTATTATTGAGATCTGGGGACACAATTATTAAATATTTGTACTGTAGAGATTACACAAGTTTGAAGTGGAGTGCATATCAACTTTAATTTTTGATTGAAAAAATATTACCAAACACCAAAATTAGTGCTAGTGCAAAAAAAGTGCTAGTTTAAAATTTTATTTAAAAAAAAATGGGAAAATTTTTATTATTTAAAAAACAAATAATTTTTTTGAAAATAATTTTTCCAACAGTTTTGGGGTAGCCTGTTTGAAAACACTTAATCAAATCCCCTGGTAATAGCTCTACACATAATTTATTAACATTATGCACAATTTATTAGTTTGTTATTTTATTTATAATAGTCATTTAAAATTTAGCTATTATAATCATAATTTCTTGAGCCTTCTTTATACACTTAACAAACCCTTTTGGGTAGACAAACCACAGCTTGAAGAAAAACGGTTTATAGTGTATTGGTTTTTACTTTTATATTACATATTTGCATCGGTTACAAATATATGATTCTAATTACATAAATAAAAATAGCAATAATTAGGAAAAGGTTGAAGTTAATAATTAAGCTAATAAATTTAAGAAAAGTTTTTTTTTAATTGCAAATTAAAATTTATATACAATGGAAAATACAGAAATATAAAACTACATTATTAATGTTAACAAAGTAATTAGAATTAAAATAAGTTATAGCCAATAGTTTATATCAGTTATAGATTATAAATAGTTTTGGTTCCAACCATACACTATCTAAAATAGATGTTCGTTACAATGTAACCAAGATAAAAACCACTATTAACAAACGTTTTCTTGCAATGAAGCCTTACATATCATAATATAAACAATTGTTTCCCAACCAGTGGTATGAGATGATAGGAGTGTAAGGCAAATTTTAAAAGAATAACAAAAAATCAAAATAATCAAATAATAAATTATAAGTAGGATTATAAAAAGTTATAAACAGAACAGTAGCCAGGTTTTTTAATTTACATGTATCACCCTTAAACCAAATTATTTGTCAGAACAATTCTTTTCAATTAATAATTGCTTCCCCAGATCCCAGTATTAACAAAACTTTTGAATTAGCAAGTGATTCAATAACATATTTATAATTATTGCAAAATAATGCCCTATAAATAACAAACAGTTTCAATAGGTTTCCCAGCGTAAAAAACTTGTACGATTAATAAAGAAAATTTGTCAGGAAGTATTAATCAAAATTAAAGTCAGCATGTCAGTGAAATTATTGTTTAATGAAATAATGTTGTTGAACAATAATTTCATTGACATCAAAGTGATCTTGATTCTGTTGGCGATATGAGCTTTTGACGAAATGATAGTGTCAGCAAAATGATCTTTGATGAAGTGATTGTCAGCGAAATAAGTCGATCCCGGCTAGTTATTACATATTTTATTTGTATTATTTTTTTAGGCATCTAAGATTTTCTTTTAATTTTCAACTTTGGAAAAAAACAAAAAAATTTAAGTTACTTATTAAAACAAAATGATTATGAGTTCCTTTCAGAAAAATCCAATTATTATGTGTCAATTTCACTTACGTTAAGATAAGCAAAAAAAGTTGTATAAAAAAGATTATAAAAAAATAGGTAGCAAGAAAAACATAATGAAAAATATTTTTTTCCCAATACATCTTTAAAATGGTATGTGAAAATTTTACCTTCATCAAAATCTGGTTCCTTTTTTATAGAAATGTGCATAGAATCTGTAAGTGCACCTTTGTCATCAGGTATTTCAATTTTCTAAAATGTTACAAAAGTAATATTATGCATTATTATTTGCTTGTTAGGTTTTGCATCCAAAAATAATAAACTAGGAAAATGGCATTAATAAATGATTGCTTATTAATTAAGCAGGTAGAGAAGATACAATTACAAAATATGGGACAAAAATTTTTTAAAATCATAGTACAATAAAGCATGGAAAATATTTCAGGAGACTGATGATAATCCACGTCTAAGTGAAAAGATGTATAACTGATAATTAAACAAACTAATAGAACTTATTGTAAAAATAATAATTTTGATAATGTAATAGCATTGTTAATCTAGCATTTAATATTATTCATGTAGAAAATAATAGAAGAAATTGTATTTAATACCAAAAATAAAACACTTATTACGAAAGTGAAAAAAAATCATAGCTTTAATTCACATCTTGAATACACAAATGTGCACAAATCATAGAGGAGAAAAATTCCTTTCAAAAACCCATTAAGAGTTTCTCAAATCCAAGACAAATATTTATGAATTTAAACAAAATTAAATATAACTAAAAAAATAAAAAGAAGATGGGGGAATAAAACAATGTATAACCAACAATTTATGTTTCTTCTGTTGCATAAATTAACTATTTTAATATTCAGAGATGCCAACTTGTTCCTGATAGCAAATATATATTTTAAAGTGGTAGTTTATCAATTGTGATTCTTGGTTTAATAAATTCAATTTAGTAAATTTTTATTCACCACTATTTCTAAATAATTCGTAGGCTTATATAATTCACCACTTTATAGTACTTTAGTCATGCTATACCTTTTAAAAAGCAAGCAAAAATAGTCAAATATTTGCAAAATTTAGTTTGCAGTTATTTACCGTTTTTTTTAAAAATTATTATTGTGTCCGGAGCAGTTGGCATCTCTGAATATTGCACAGATTAAAAATGAATTGGGACTGAAATGAAATGACAAATTAATAAAAGAGACATAGAAATAAATAAATAAGAAACAGTGCTTCACTGAACAACTAGCAATCACATAAACTCTACATTATCATAATTGCAAACCTCCATTTTTAAAAAAAAAATTCATAAGAAATTATTTAAAATACAGAAAATTTTAATGTTTTCAATTTTTATTCTTTATTTAAAAAATCAGCAGTACAGTTATTGGAATATTGTACCTACATATTCAATTTAGTTTTTTAATACAATTAATCTAATAAATTTGAAATAGAAGAAAACTATGTTTTTTTGGCACTATAAAATGCTTAACACCTCATATTTTACACTACTTAAGCAAACTGAAGTGCAATGAAAATTCAAGACAACATTGTCTGATGCAGGCAAAGAGCCTATTCTCACACTTCTATTCATATGTGAATAAGAAGGTGCAAAATTTTAAGTTTCAAATTGTAGAAGATTAAAGTTTCCATGCGGAAAGGCAAAAATGGAGCATAAGCAAAAAAAAATTGGTAACTATTCATTGCGCATTCAACACAATAAAAAAAAGTTTTTTTTTTCCAACAAAAATTATCTAGAACTATTAAAATTTAAGAAATTTTTATTTAATTTATGCAATGCTAATCTTAGAAAGGAAACAATGTACAAATTAGTTTTTCTGTTGTTTATGTGAAACCTTTAACTTATTATAAACTGTGTGTGATAAAAGTCATAGAATTTCCTCATAATGATGCTTTTAATCAGATTTCCTCTTTAATCAATTTTTTCTTCTGACGAATTCATTCTAGGAAATGGGTAATATATGTACCTAATTTACACAACTGTAATCTATAACATCACTTTCACAAATGATGATAAGATTTGTTTCACAAATGTTTGCATATAAAAACACAAGATTACATCATATGATACAAAAGTGACCAATTAGACAATTAGAACCTGGCAATATGGTAAAATTACAGATTTGACATGCTAAAGCTGAAACCTTATTGATGAAGTCACAAAATTATTGGAACCGCAGACATCACGATCCACAATGTGCTGTTGTGGGAATCCTTAGCTTATTTCAAAAAACCTTGTTTTGAAGATAATTGAAATCATTTTAAAAATTAATGCTTTGATAATTAAAAAAAGGTAATATAAGAACTGAATTGCTATCTTACTACACGGGGCGTGAAAGGCTCATCGGTGCTTGTACTAGTGCTCTGTGAAAGCATTGAGCTAGTTGATTGAGAGTCTGAAGAGGATTCTTTCACATAAGGAGAACAAGCTGGTAAATCAGGAGTCTTCAACACATGTGCTTTCTCATCATCAACTCCTCTGAAAATGCAAAAACCCTTTACTTTTTTCTTAATTGTACGTAAAAATGGTATAATTTATGTTTTGAGAGCAGCAATCTGCAATGCAACAACATTTGTCGTAAATGTTGCCCTATGTTTTTACAGGATACAATTTTTAATAATGCCAAAATGCGACGCCCGGTGGCTGAGTGGTAGAGCTTTGCGCTCCCGTGCCACAGGTCCACAGATCCTCGGGCCGGGCAAGGTTGACTCAGCTTTTCCTCCCTTCAGTGGTTTGGGAACAAACACTGGGGGTTCCGTGTTCGGTTGACCACCTGACCGGAACATCTGCTCCTGCACTCCAGAGTCCAAGGTCGAGAAAACTGAGATGGGTACAGCAGGCCTTGGCCCTCTGTGGGCTGTCGTGCCACTGAGTTTAGTTTAATGTTAAAATGCAAAATGAAATCTCTGATGCTTCATAAGTTACAATGTTTTAAAAATTATGAAATAAGAGGATTCAATTGAATGTAAAGTTTACAGAGATGCCAACTGTCTTAAAAAAAGAACAGTACAAAACTATAAACTACAATTTGCAGATTTTTGGTTAATTTTGCTCATTTCTTAAAAGGTTTAAAACAGTTTAACTATTACAACATTACACATCATATAAGCCTTTGGATTGCTTAAAAGTAGTGGTGAGTAAAAACACTATAAATCGAATTTAGAATTTATGGAGTGTGTTTGTGGAAGTTCTGAAAGAAATTTTCCTGCATTTATATAATAGTTCATTTCCTGATTACAGTAGAGTCCCGATTATCCGAGTTTCCGCTTTAACCGAGCTACCAAATATTTCAAGCATTTTTTCTAGTTATTTTTAAAAAAACCGCTGAAAAATAAATCTGAATTTTATCTTTCAAACACTCAGAAAAACAAAATCCAACAACTTGGTCTGATGAAATTATCGTTAATATCGTCAATAATGATAACGAATCTAGCGAAGATGATGAAGACAGTGATTATTAAAATCAACATATAAAAATCTCTCATACAGATGAACTAAAAGCTATCGAATGTACTATTGAATACATAGAACAACAAAAAGAGGCGACACCAGCCTTCCTGTTATCCCTGAAAAAAGCGAAACATTACTACAGAAAAGAGCCAAAGTTACGTAGAACCAAAAATGATTAAGGACTTTTTTTAAGTAAAAACTATTTAATTCTCGTAAAGTATGCTTTTTAATTATAATATGAATTGTATGTGGTATACTCGTATACTTTTTGTATTTCTTAAATATATTACATTTATACCTTTTTTTTTCTACCCGTTTTTATACTCTTCGCTTTAACCGAGTTTTTCACTTATCCGAATTTGTTGCGGTATCCATTAAATCGGATAATCGGGACTCTACTGTATTTCTAATTTCACGAATTAGTAAAATATTGAATGATATAAAACAATTAATATAATTTTGCATCAATTAATTTTATTTACACATAATAAAAAACCAATTTTTTTCTACTGATTCCTTTTATGCAATTTATATACTAACATATTACATAATATAAATACATGCCAATTCCTTTGTACAAAAAAAAGACATTTTTTTCTTTTTGGCTTAAATGCATTATTTTTATTACATAATGCGTACTAACAAACAGGGAAATATTTTCACTTAAGAATGGAATATTTTTTACATATATTTTAATACACTTATAATTCTTTTCATAAATTTCTATGTATTGCCTAAAACATGCACTAATTATTAGAATACAGGAAATCGAATTAACAGTTTTATATTAATATCCAGAAAAAAATAAAGTAACTGATTGTGAGATGTTCAAAAAGTGGGTAGTCCTTGAAAGTGATATTCATATTCAGTTCTGAATGTTTTTTAAGCTAATGGTTTCAACAGTAAATTTGATTAAAACCACAACAATTAAAATAATATTCGAGTAGAAAAAGTTAAATAAAATGTCAAAAGACTTAAGTTACCTAAATTTCTTATACAGTCGTAAAATTTCATCAACTAGTCGATTATTTTGAAGTTCAGGCTCCGCGGCATCCTGGTCAAAAAGAAAAATATTTTATGTGAAAACAATTAACAAATAAAAACACAAAAAATATAATATTCTTATCTGAAAATTTATTTTAATAACGAGTCAGAATATTTTCTTTAAACTTGTAGAATGATGAATATTATTATTTAATACACAAAAACATCAAGTGAAAAGATACAGAGAATTGAAGAATTCAGATGACAAAAATATAAAAGCTAGGACAGAAAAAAAAACTATCGAATTTATCAAAATCACCAAAGTTAAGCTTGTTCTGCATTTAACATATATATGAATTTTCCATTTATTCAAGAATTATTTTGAGGCAAAAAAACATAAACCATTGTACAATTGCAACCGCAAATTATTACTATCCATTACTGATAAGTGAACATCGAACAGTGATCACAAATTAGAGAAAGCTTATAAATAATAAACATGGTTAAAAATACTACAAGAATCACAATTCTACAATTTTAACTAAATTTAACAAGAATTTAAAATTTGATTTCAAAATGTTAACAGTTGTTCCATAATGTTAACTGTTGCTTACAATCATAAATATTAAATATGATAATAAAAATAAAGAAAATACCTGGAAACAAGTTGGACATTGTGACTTATATGTCATATATCGCCTTATGCAAACTGAACAATCTGAAATTAAATAGAATCTTTTAATACAATATAGAAATAACATTCCAAGAAAAATAAGAGCTTTTTCTAAATTTTTTAAATGTCTCTTTGAATCATTGCAGTTTTATCCCTAAAAGAAATTAATCACCAACAAAATTATTGCCTTTCCAACGAATAGCTAAAACATTAATATATTCCAACTAGCTGAGCCCTCAAATTTAACTGGAAGTCTTTTTTTCTGATGAAAATGCAAGTTTAAATTGCTTCCAGAACATTACAAGCAGAATTTATTTCAATATCATTTCCAAACAGAATTTATTGTCAATCAAAATTCTGACAACTTTTCTGTGCATTTAAAAACAAAAGTTTTAAATAGAGTTCTGTATTGGTTTACAATATAAGTTGTAAAGGTTTTTTGACCATTACAAGCAGAATTCGTTGCAGTTTTATCTCGAAAGGGAATTAATCACCAACAAAATTGTTGTCTATCCAACGAATAGCTAAAAAATTCATATTTCAATTGGAGCTTTTTAATGCCCGACATATAATAGGTTTTATTTGTTACCTGACTGCTACTGGCAGAATTTATATTAAAATAGAATTTATTGTCAATTAAAATTTTAATCGTTTTGTGATGAGCTATAGTGCATAAACTTATAAGTGACAATTAAGTTTTTACAAGCTACAGTACCCTTCCATATTATTAGGGACACTTAAAATTTCTAAAAAATTGTCCTTTTTCAAAGTGTCATAACTTTTTCAAAAATGAATCAATTTTCATAAAAATTTCAGGATATCATGTTCAGGTCTTCTACTTGCACCTAAAAATTAGTAATTTAATTTATCTCAATTGTTTGCATAAATTTGCTCATTTGAACAAAGCAAGTTTTTTTTGAAAAAAAATGTCATGTTAGACAAGGTGCTACTTTGTGACAAAATTGTTTACATAAAAATCATTATTTACACATTAAAGTACAAGTCGTTACCTTTAAAACGCGCTAAAGTAAATGACTTTACGATTTTTTTTGCCCGAGATATGAGATTTTGAATTCGAATTCACAACATTAAATAGTGAAAATTTTGACGTTTATAAATAAAACCAATTATTTATACTTTCGAGTATAAATATAAAAATTTTATTATATATGTAATTTATTATATAATTTGAATAAACAATTCAAATTTATTATAAAATTTTGATATCGATTTCATTCAATTCAATTGAAATCTAATTTTCACAAAAAATACTGCCACAACTCACTTTTCACTATAAATGACAAGAAAGTTTCAACATCTCATATTTCAGTCAAAAAAAATCTTAAAATCATTTACATTAGCGGGTTTTAAAGGCAACGACTAGTACTTTAATGTGTAAGTAATTATTTTTATTAAAAAAATTTTGTCACAAAGTAGCAACTTGTCAGACTTGACATTTTTTTTTAAAAAAAAACTTGCTTTGTTCAAATGGGCAAATTTTTTACAAACAATTGAGATAAATTAAATTAGTAATTTTTAGGTGAAAGTAGAAGATGATATCCTGAAATTTTTATAAAAATTGATCCATTTTTGAAAAAGTTATGACACTTTGAAAAATGACAATTTTGTAGAAATTTTAAGTGTCCCTAATAATATGGAAGGGTACTGTACAATTGATTTTTCAATATTGCAAGCAAAATATATTGTAATTTTGTCACTATGTGAAAAATTTTACCACTTTCTGATGTAAACAAGGGTACAGACACAAAACCTAACCAGACAACCTCCCTAATACAGTTCTATCACCACTGAAAACATCTTTTGAAAGTGATGTGCTCAAAGATTTTCATTTTCTGTCTGGCAAAACAAGAATTATTTTTCCCCTCTTAGTCTACTTAAAAATGTATTTTTTAAATAAGTACTTCATTATAAAATGCATATTTAAGTACCTAAAAACTTTCAAGTGCTAAGAGAAAATTCTTCCATCAAAATGTCATAAACATATGATAGACAATCATATTTTTAAGTTTAATATACTTAATAGTACTAAGTACTTTATTTATGTCATACTTGAGATGCATAATGGGCTATTAGCGATAGTCTGGAAAACACCCTGAGGATGATCCGGAGACATGCCATCACTATTATGATTCTCTGTAAAAGGTGCCTCCATTTTTGTTGTCGAATGACCTTTGTGCAATTTTGAGCATTTTATGGTAAACCAATACTACACACTCTGGATCCTTTTGCTGGTTGATCAAAGTAGTCACCCACCTGCTCTTTGATTGATGCCGGTAATGGTTGACATTGTGTATCAGCCCATTGTGGGACTTCAAGTATATTTTACATTTGTAATTAGATAAAAGTATTAGTATCTGCAAAGGCTAATAGAACAAAGGTGCATCTATTAAATTCTTATAATTAAAATTAATTTAAAAATATATATAGTACCTTGCAACAAAATAATAGTCTAGTTTTGGGTACTTTCAAAAAATGTAAGCGAGAGGCTAAAAGTATCATAGAACTGGACATACTGGAAATGTTAAACTTATAACCACCAATTGGCAAGTCACGAAATATATATATTTTCTTTAATTTATCAAGCAACAACTGAGTAATTTCATACGCTAGATAGCTACATACAATTCAAGCTTTCTTCCTCTGTGAGAGTTTCTCGAATGTTATGGCTTAGTTCTTGCTAAAGTATAGCAGAATTTTTGTTTAGGATTCTGAGCTAAACTGGTCGCTAGTGCTTTATTTATGTAGTTTTTCACTTTACACTAAATATAATTTTATTCCACAAGTTCCAAGTAATAGCACAAAGGCAGTTAACAGAGTCATAGGTATTTTCACACATTAGTCATAGTGAAAACTTTTTTATTTTCAAGTCAAAAATATTTAACATAAACTTAAAACAAAAAGGGGGATTTTTCTGTATTGTGATCTGGTGAGCAAACTATAATCACAAAAACGAAGTTCAAACTTGTAAATTCAGGGGTCTGTCCAGGCCGAATTTACTACCGTTTAGCGGTACCTTCACAAATTCAATTTTAGGTAAAACGGTAGTTTCACAAATTCAACTTTAGGTAAAACGGTATTTTCACAAAATACTTTTTCTTAAAATTTTATTTTTGTCTCCCTTAAGAAACGATAAATCTATATTTTTACCATGTTTTAGTGTTGACTTTTTAATATAATTTTTAATTTTTCACAAATTATGTCAAAATTTTCACAAAATAGGTACTTTTAAGAAAAACCTAGACAGACCCCTGAAATTAACAATAGCAACAAAAAAAAACATGTCAAGGTTTGCCCAGGAAGGGGCCTATAAGTTGTACCCTTTGAGTTGCTTCCCTTCTATGATTTTTTTTATAGTTTCTTGCAGGGAGCTGCCTGCTAGTTGCCTAGAATTTATTCTATTGCAGATCATGTTTCAGAAATATTCTCAAAAATACCATCTTTTTTGTAAACAATACAGTCTGATTGTACTTGTTGCCTATCAAGTTGAAGCTCAAATTTACAAGAGGTATATATCACAGCCTGTGCATATTACAGACATCTAAATTAATTCACATATAACAAATTTAAAATGCAGATTAACTATAGAAAAGTTAAAGATTTAAAGTAGGTTGCATCTGTCTCTTATTTTGTCAATTTTTTTTACGTATTTGTAGAAAACAGGGAAAATGAGTTAAAAGTGAAATTTTTTAAAGCGATAGAAATAATAGGAAAATGGAAGATACTATTGTGATTAAAAGCTTTAAGTTGCAGTGCCTAATTCAAAAGGTACCCTGTTCCACACTCTTAAGAAAAATATTTCTATTTCTGACTTACAGTTGTGATTGCATTTAGTCATCATACAGCTGTTAAAATAATCGTCGCAAATTCGGCAACGAAGAGCATCATCCAAAGGCTGTAATAAAAGATAAATTTAATTAAGTAATTGTGGCTTATTATTTTGAAAAAAAAAAGTAATAGGAAACATTAAGAAATATATTCGCCTACCTTCAACATTTTATAATTTAGAATAATATTATCATCAGAAAATGTATTTAAGCAACTTGTAGATGGTTCAATGCATTGGGCAGCAGCCATTTTGATATGAATTATAGAAATTTTAAGCTCTTTTTGTTTAAATAATTATATCAAAGAATATATATTAGAGATTTTTGTTTTGTTTACATCGAATTAAATTGTTTTCTTTTCAGTTCAATTTTATAGTCGATGCCAAAAATTGTTTAAGAAAAGGTATTTGAGTTGAATGATCCGCAGTTGCCAAAAGACTTGATCCATTAAGGGTTATTCTCACTGTATTCAGCTTAAACTTGGGATTAGGGCTATTTTCACTGCACGTAAAAAATAAGTATGGATGGTGATTTCTACACTAGGGAACGCTGCAAGCTCGGTACCGCCTAAATTTCTGGGTTACTGTTTCCGTTGTATTTTAAAGCCATTTGGCATCATTGTGTTTTGAGATTCTTGCGAACAATGTATCTGATTACTTATTACTTGTGTTTACAATGCTAACAATACTTCTGTTTACAACGCTAAAAGTGTTAGCACTAGCGTAAGATGGTGCACAGCTTGCAACAAGAACAAACAGTAATAAACTNGAGATTCTTGCGAACAATGTATTTGATTACTTATTACTTGTGTTTACAATGCTAACAATACTTGTGTTTACAGCGCTAAAAGTGTTAGCACTAACGTAAGATGGTGCACAGCTTGCAACAAGAACAAACAGTAATAAACTTATGGAAAGAGGCCATATCAAGACTGCGAAAAAAGCGAGTTATTCAAAATCTAGCAACCATGTCACCTTTTTTAACAATATATCTCGAAATAACTAAAATTTTTTTTCACTTCAAACTCACCAGAACTACATAATAACATTAATATCTTATAAAATACGGCAGCTATGAGTTCAGAAATTATCTCATTTATTTCTTTTATTGAAAACAAAATTATCCGTTTGAAAATATCACCTCGCAGATTAACATGTAGTATGCAGCTGCAAACTTTCTAACCGGAACTAGAGCAGGCATACAGCTCGAGATTGTTATTGTTTACATTTCTACTGAAAACATCATTCATGGTGTTTTCTGTTCACTGGAACTTCACATCCACTATTTGTTGCTGCTGGTGTTTTTGATGACACTTGGACAAGCCCTAGCTCACTAGCTTGCGAATTATGTCAGACAGGTTCGCCTTTCGTTTGAAAAGAGAGCACCGCAAGAGTGAAAATTCGTCTTAGCTCAGAACCTCTCGGATATAAGGCAGCATTACTTATTCATGCGGCTACTTTCCCATTTTGGCCATAGAACTGAAGGGGAAGAAAACTTTCCTCAAATCTCTGTACCCATGGTACTGTTCAGTAACAGATCACAAGACTTTCGATTCCACATATTTTACGAGCACCTATATCACACGTATTCGGTGGGTATTAGTGGAGTCGCGAATCGAATCCTGGTTCCTCTTTATCGGAGCCCGATTCTCTAACTACTGAGCTACCACGGCCATTCTTTTTCTTCCAAATGTTTGTCAGAAAATATTAATTTTTTTAAAGAATAAACTAGCGGATATAAATAAATTAGTAATATTATATTCTCCAGTTGCTTAAATCATTACAGATTTTTAAAAAAAATCTTTTTTGTAAAGATATGAAAAGCAAAAAATTATTTTCGCTTGATTGTTTTGTGTCCTAAAAATTTATAATGGTAGTAGTAAATTGACGTTGTAGGAATTCCGGTTTTTCAAAACCACTTTATCTCTTAGTGTATTGAATGCGAAGAGATGTCTGAAATGTTACACACCCGACGCATCGTAAAAAGCGCATTTTTTGCGGTGACCATTTTCTTAAGTACGCATTTCGAGCTACGTCCATTTTCTTAAACATGCATTTCGAGCTACGTCCATTTTCTTAAACACGCATTTTTAGCTATGTTCATTTTTGAAACACGCATTTTGAGTTATGTTTACTTTCTTTAACATGCATTTGGAGCTGCGTTCATTTTCTCAAACACGTATTTCAAGCTATGTCCATTTTCTTAAATACGTATTTCGAGCTGTCTATTTTCTTAAACACTCATTTTCAGCTATGTTCATTTTTTAAACACGCATTTTGAGCTATGTTTATTTTCTATAACACGCATTTCGAGCTTTGTCCGTTTTCTTAAACACGTATTTCGAGCTGTGTACATTTTCGTAAATACGCATTTCGAGCTGTGTCTTAAAGGTTCTTCAACGAATTGTTTCCTAAAGATCGCAAGCAAAATTTATCTCAATTTTATCGTCAATCAAAATTTTGACCACTATCGGCATCAATAACTATTACTAAATTTAAATGACAAAATCTAAAATTTGAGCAGAATGGATTTTTATTTTTTAAGAACTATTTGATCAATTTTGCTAACACTAATGCACTGTCTGCGCTAAGTAGTATTTTAAATTAGCAAATGATAACCTGAGAATTGTATCAAAGGTTATTAAGGTGTTCTGTTTATTACAATGCTCACTCAATATAAAAATTCTATTATTAGGTGTCCAATACTATTATCATCATTAACGCAAATGAACATGTAGTATTAATGTCTTTGTTAAAGACAGTGCCAAAAAATTTATAAGTAGAATAAATAACAGGTGCAGGGGCGTACGCAAGGGGGGGGGGTTAGGGGTTTAACCCCCTCCCCCCTTGAGCTCAGACAAAGTGAATTTACAAAATAATACAGACAAAAACAAAAATTTGGTAGAAATTATGCGGGTTATTATTTTTTAAGACTATATATTTTTATTTGCCTTANAATTTACATTGAGGTGTACTTATCCCCATGGAAAAAGGAAAATTTCCATTTGCTGCTGTAAAAAGAATGAATCAATTACAGTACCAACATTCCGCTATTTACAACCGCTAAATGAATCAATCGATTACAGTATCCTACGATCTTCAAATTTATGAACGCAAAAGGAATCAATCAATTACAGTATCTACTATCATCAATTTACTACCACAAAAAGAATAAAGCAATTACATTACCTACGATCTTTAATTTATTATATGTATATTTTTTTCTTCATAATAACAAACAACAGCGAATCTATATTTGTTGAGAATTAGAGCGTTATATTTCTGTTTTTCTAATTGTATTGCTGTTTAAAAGAAATGTTTGCGTCGATTAACACCAATTGAATGTTAACACCAAGCGATCTTTAACACAGAGAGCGGAAAAAAAAACTTGAGTGGGAAAAAAAACGGCAAAAAAAAAGAAGAAAACAAAACCTTGTCAAAATAGTGTGAAAAACATGAACTTGAATATTATTTCAATATATTTCCTTTAAATGGATCGCATTACCCGAAGCGTCACTGCACGCATCTTATTTCCCGCGAAAAATATTTTATTGACTACGGTGAAGTAAACATTCTTTTTAAAAGTAGCATAAAATAAAACAAATGTTATTTATCATAAACTAATAAAATTCGCTTATGAAGATCGTCCGATAGTCAAATAAAGCAAACATTTCAAGTGGAAGAAATGTTTTCTTTATTAAAAAATCGAAACCGTGAAAATTGATTCTGGTAATATTTTGAGCAAATCGCATTGATTTTGTGCTCTGATTTTCATTAAGAACAGAGTTAAAATTAAATGACTTTTGAATTCTTTATATAACTGTAAATTGAAATCGTCTGCTTAATTTTCTTTGCACGAATAATTCTATAATCCTCTCATGATCTCTAACTAAGTTGGTTATAGGAGAAACTATAAATATGATAATGACTTTCTTTTTTACCAACAAATGTTATTCTTATAAGTGTGTTGAATTACTGATTAAAAAATATGTATATTTTAAACCTACTTTTTTTCCAGTGCTGTGATTTTTATATAATCCAGAAAGGTTAACAAAAAAGTCATTTTTTATATCGTTTAGACACAACAATGCTTTCTGAATGTATTCTTCTTTCATTTAAAAAAAAATTGGGATTAATTTTAATTGGGGGGGGGGAGGGCTCAATACCTAGAATATACTATTTTTATCGGTATTCGAGGATATTTGCTGATCATCTCATTCACATAATGTGAAAATAGTAACAACAGATTAATCTACTTTTTTTTTTTACCGAAGCAAAGAATTACATCCCTATAAATACTTTATTCTACAAAGAATACGGCTTTTTTCCTAACTTTTTCGAATTTGACAAATAAATGTATTTTAAAGGATTTCAATAAATTTACATTCAACATTCGGCAACGTGTTCTAAGTTAAATATCTCATTGAATATCTCATTGTTTTCCAGAAAGTATCGCCATCTATCGCCAAGAATTCGACATCTGTCATACACGTACGTCACAGCACGTTTATAGGGCGGACCCATTCATACATCCATTCAATCATCCACAGATCGCAATTTTGTCCTGAGCCAGAGAACAATCAATCTCCAATTCACTACCTCCAGAGGTATGATTTGTTATGGGAACATGAAGGACTTTGTTACCCAGTAGATTTAACCCTCACCAGCTACCATTTACTACACGGGAAAGTCTTCGGACGGCGGGGATCGAGGTTACGACCTACTCAATGCCCTACCAACCTGGCTATCCCAGCCATATAAGGCACAGAGGTGTGATTTTTCTTGTTTTCCAGTGGNATAAAAATTGATAATTTTATTTTTATTCTTTTGTTAGCTTGCATTCCGAAGGACACTTTCCCTGAATTTTGTTTTTTCGTAAGCTGTAAAACAAACATAAAATATACTGGGGACATGAAAATGACTGTTTTTGTGAGAATGACCCATAAATGTATTTTAAAAGATTTCAATAAATTTATATTCAACATTCGGCAACGTTTGCTGAGTTGAATATCTCTTTGTTCATTTTTCGAATAAGAAATAAATGAAAATATTGACAGTTCTGCTTATTTTTATGTATTAAAACTATTTCACTTTGGTTATAGCAAATCTATTTCCTTAGGAGGTAGTAAATTAGATTAAAAAATTAGTTGTTTGCCATTAAGGCAAACGTTTGCGCATCGTTTTGTTTACCAGTATCTCCATCTACGGCCAAGAATTCGACTTCTGCCACACACATACGTCACAGCCCGTTTATAGGGCGGACCCATTCATACACCCATTCAGTCATCCACAGATGGTAATTTTGTCCTGAGCCAGAGAACGATCAATCTCCAATTCACTCTCCAATTCCAGAGGTAGGATTTGTTATGGGAACATGAAGGACTTTGTTACCCAGC